GACAAAGAAACTTAATTTTTAGTAAATTCTTTTATGGAAAGTAGCAAAAAATGTTTTTTAATATTCGAAAACACAAAAAAAGACAGATTTTGACTAAGTTAAGCTATAAATTATTTCATTGTCCATGCAAATAAAATCACATTTTAGTAGCTAATACTTTGAGCGTTTAAGATTAAAATCCGGGTCATTTTCCTTCTCATTCTTAATGCTTCCTTCTTGTTGAAGTGAATTTTGAGACTTGAACACCGGGTAAGATGTCAAGATTGTTTTCAAATAAACAATTAATTGTGAAGATGATGCAAAAGTGGAGCTTTAAAGTCTTAGAAGTCTTAAATGTTTGGTTTTAGACAATAATATATGTCTAAGTGCATCTTTTTGGAGAGCAGTAGTCGAGGGATACAGATGTGCTGCAAGATTCTTTAGATTCGAGATTAAAAATCAGACATTACACATGCTGACGTCTATAAAGTGTGATTGTATATTGTATTTGTCTCAATATTGCATGTTTTGAATGTTTTTTAAGAGTTCTGCTATGTGGATGTGATGTCAAAAGACATGAATATTATCAATCATGAGTTGAAACAGTAAAATAGCTTAATACTTCTCTTAAAAATTATGCCAGCACAGATGTTATGAATTTGAAATACCAAAATAGTCTTAGGATTGAAATATCGTTAAAGGAGAGGTTCGAAGCCGACATTAAACAAAGTTAGAGTCGAACTAGAGTTTAAAGTCTTTTAAAAATGACTCAGCTCTTTTAAACGTAATAATTGAATGATACTCGTGAAGGAAGCTGTTGATAGAGACAGTATAGCACTTGGTATTGGAAATTGGCAGACGGTAGCCAGCGATAGAGCTAGTTTTAGGCGTCAACTAAAGGAGGCCATGAATTACAATTGAACTGTACGACCAGCGAAGTATGGAAATAAGTATTTAAATGAAATCTAAACTACCATGCTTCTTCTTATGTAATCAATTGATATATTCCTCAAAAATTCCAATTCATGCACCTTGATTCAGCATTAAATTGATAAATATCAATGCATTTATCACACACCAAATTGAGCTCATTAATTGAGTTTCAAGTCCATTATATTCAATTTTTATAAATTCCAATTATCAAAGACCTTAAGATATATTTAAGTCCATTCAGCAGCCAATATAACGAAAAATATCACGATACAGCATTAAAGAAGACAAAGCATAGCCATAACTACCCGAATTAACATAACAAATATAAAACAATTAATTAATAAATAACAACCGGACAGTATTGTTGAGGCAATGATGATAAAAGAATTTTGAAAAACAATCCAACACTAATAATTAAAATGGCTCATTTAAGTCACGTAAAATAAATATATTATGTTGGGAAACATGAAGGGACGTTCATAAATGAGGTACATTAAAAGGTTAGATTTTAGACTGAAGAGGAGGAGCGGGGGAGGGCTTCAACTTCTGTCAAAATTTTTATATTCAAAAACTTTTTCAATATCATAAACTAAGACCCCCTCCCCCTAAAATGTAAGACATCATAAGTGAATAGCCCCTCATTAATTAGAAGAATTCCAAACATTTTTAACACCTACATTCATTTTTATCGGTAATCTTATATCTTATGGAAATAAAAAAATCGTCAGACAAATAGCTATAAAATTAATTTTAGGTCTGCGAGTTTCTTTTAATTATCTTTAAAAAATCTACTGACTCATTGTTAGGCTTGAAATTTTTTTTTTGACACTTTTAGTGATGTTGTTGATGCCAAGATTCACGTCACTTAAGGCTTTTGACTTCAGGAATTCTTTTGTTCACTCAAATGGCTTTTATGATAGTCGTAAATGTAAAACTATTTTTTGATAGCTTAAAAATTCGTGAATTATTGCATCCTACAAAATGGGTGAACTATAAGTCGAAACTTTAATTAATTAGCTTAGATTCTAAATCTGGCTTAATGACTAATTAATATTAATTGACATCTAATGGGAATCAATGGTTAAAAGTGTCACTTAGAAATGAGATAATAAACGACACGAGACTCAGATCATATTCAATTTGTCTTAAACACTCGAAAAGTAAGAGCTGTACGCACACGTGCTGAGAAAATGAAGACTTTTGTTTATATTTTGTCGCATTTAGGTCGAATGGCTCATGTTTATAGTGTTTATGCGTAAAATTTAAGCTGTATAACTTTATAGTTTTATCTTATAAAGTTATTTAAGATCTGTAAATTAACGGATCATTAAGGTTGAGTTGAGTTGATGGGATTGGACCTTATTGAATTGACAGTTGATATAAAATATTTTTAAGACTAATTGTGAATAGGTGGGCTTTTAAATGGGTTATCTTGGAGTTAAAAAAGTATTTTGATAAATCATTGCTTAAAAAACAGCTGTGGCAAATTGTCAAGAATCTTCAAGAACCATCTTAAATTCAATTTAGGAGTTCAATTCATCGTAACCTGAATACACACAAAAAACCTAAAGTAAATCCCAAAGATCACAACTTATCTCATTAGAGTTAATCAGATCTTAACTTCAAAAATCAGCTAGCTTTATAAAAATCCCCGAAGTCAAAGAAACTATGCGCTCAATCCATCCACAAACTAAACATCTCCTCACAATCTTCAAATACAATTCACCAAAATTCCAAAAAAAAAATCTATTCAACTGCTACTGCAAAATAATACTCTAAAGAATCTCATGAAAATGAAGTCATAAAATCAACAAAGTAAATCTTCTTTTTATGCGATTATATTTGAACAAAAATTTTAATGAGTATTTCCTACTTGAGAGAATCATACTACTTGCGATTAGAACGTGAATAGACAAGTGTTGAAATTTCCCATTGATTTTTAATCAACTCCTTCTCGATGACTCACAGGGAATGGAATTTCTATTCACGCATCACATCCTATTTGATGATCGTTTTATGGATGAATTAAGAGTTATTGGAGGTTAAAAATCAGCTTATGGAAATATCGTAAAATTTCATTGGAAATGTCAAAGAGCGTAACTCAAGTAGACTATAATGTAGTCATAGAAAGTAATAAACAGGAATAATCATTAAATTTATTGAAGATTACTTAATTCATTGTCGTTTGATACAAATTAGTTGAAGATGTTTCCAACCCGAGTAAGATATGATGTTGTGGAACTATTTTAATGAAAACATTTTTAAATTGTACTGCTCAATTTAATTGAAATAAATTTATTTTGGTACCCATTCTCATCTTAAATAGAGACTAAGCGTTTGTCTGGAATATAGAAAGCTTTAGACGCTTAGTCATGGATACCTTCTCATCCAACTTTATGCCTCAATAGTAATATTTGTATCAGAAGCTCAAGATATGTATTTAGAGCATATCTTTAACCTTTACAATATCTGAACGAAACCTCAAGGCTGTTATTTTAATTCATAGAACCTGACATACTCCAAAAATATCAGGTTTAGTCCTTAAGCCACTTATTAAGCTACCAAACGTCTACAACATTGAAAAGTTCGTAGCTGAACACCAAATAAATTATAATCCAATACTATTTCATGTAATCCATACCAACTGAATTAATTTCCAAACCTCATCTTCTACATTTCCATAAAAAAAATTTACCATTTTTTTTGGAATTTATTGATAAGATCACAACAAATGATAGTAAGCAAAAAACATAGACACATGGCACGAAGCTGAATATTCTTCTAAATTTGTAATATCAATAAATTGTTTCGCATCTTCTGTCATTCGTCTATAAATAAATTCGTTCGTCTCTATCTTCTTTTTCTTAGATGATGTGGAATTAATAAAAAGAAGAAGAACATTCTCATTTACTTACATATGACTTGCTAATGCTACTTCTTTTGCTAATTTCAATAAAAGATAAGAAGAGGTTGGAAAAAAATATTTTTTTTTTTGTGATGCGATCTGTTGGGAAAGATTCTTTCTAGCCGGATCTTTGATAGACGAAATTATTAAAAGGCAGAAAACGATTCACACACTGTCGATAATTCGGAATCACGCGCAGATCTTTTTTATTTTGTAAAACAGCTTTGGGAACTGACCAACCTCAATCTAAATAATTTTGATGTTAGCTTTGTTGAAGATTATGGTTTTGGGGCTGAATTGAATTTTAAGGCATATGGAAGTGAATCATCATAGAAACTGTTTGCTAAGAGCCTTTGTGGTCGAGGAAATTGAATTTTTCTTTTATTTTGAATGTTGCGGGTTCGATTCCTATTAAGTTGAGTTCTAAGTTATTATGCAGCATATTATTAATTTGACTAGGGTCGCACATACTTAGGTTATTCTTAAATAAATAGAATATTTTGAACCCACCGCACCCTCTCCCAAGTAACATACATCATAACTGAATGAACCCCAGCATTTAATTCAAAATAAAAACAAATTGAAAAGCTTTCAAATTCCACATTCACTTGATTTTTATCTTTAGATAATCTTTTCCTGCTTTATGTCTTATCATCATTATTAATGAATTAATTATCCTTGTAACGGTTGTGCAAGAGATGCTTCAACCATCCGTAATAAAAATAAATATTTTATCACAAATCAATGACTTAATGAATCGAATTAACAGATAGTTGTGTGATTGAATTGCTGAAGATAAGTTTTTAAATTGCAGACATTTCTTGTTTGAATTTATTTACTTTGAATTTTTCAAATTTTGATTGATTTTTGCCTAATTCTTTTTAAATTTATTTGGTCTTTTTAAATCTTTTTAAATTTTTTTGGAATTTTTGAAATTAATCTTTCTTTTAAAAAATTTCAAATTTTTATAAAAAAAATTTTAACAATTTTGAATCTCTTTAAATTGTTATAATTTTTGCAAATTTTCAATTCAATTTTTCATTTCTTTTGATCTAATTTTTTTTAAATTCACTCTACAAAATGTCCACAAAATTTCAATTTTTAATAATTCAAAAAAAAAGTCTGCAAACTTTTCAGAACTTTCAATCCAGAACTAATCATAAAAATACAAACAACCCCTTACCAGGAATATGAAAATTTCTAATTTCATTTTATATTAATTAACACTTTTATTTTTGCACTTTAAGTTTTCTTTTCTTTGTTATTTTTCTAAGGATTTTTTTAAAACTTTAAATAAAATCCACTAAAATTTAAAGAAGCTCCAACTCCTTTATCTCAATTACTTTTGTCACTTTAACTTCCAACACTCGATGCTATTCGTTTGAAATTCAACAAACAACTGACAAAAATCCTTCCACTGTTTTGCTGTTATAAATGTATCGATTCAGATATTAGCATGGGGACAAGAAACTGGCTTTTTTTTTCGCACAGGTAAAACGGCAGCATCGAATAGGCACTACACACAATTTTTTTGTGTGTAAATTCGACGAAGATGATGAGAAGAAGAATAAAATCTTCTGTGAGCTTATCTCTCGCTCTCAAGCTTAACAGACAATACAACTTACATTTCTGATGAATATTATTATTGACGTGTGACGATATTTTATATCAGTATTGTGCCACTGTCTCTCATTATTGACTTCTTAAGATAATAAAATTAAATAATTTACATTTTTGTCACTTTATGAATTCATTAATGATGTGAAATAATTTCGTATTTATTGGAGAAAAAAAATAAAAATTGTCTTTATATGGTCGATGACCAAATTACCATAAATTTCACAATTTCATTATCATGAGTGCATTTATAGCTCTAAAGTTACAAACAATAAACTGTATATGGATTTTTAAATACACGAAAATTAACAAATTTTATGATTTTGATCATCATTCAGTAGCATAAAATTATGTCATTAACTCATTATTAATATAAAGCTATACATAATATTAAAATTAATCAACGAGTCTAGCCTGAGTGCTGATTTGATGCACAAATACAGTAAAATTGTAGCTTTTATTTCCGCATGAAATTTTTAAATGTTTTAATCATCATCAAACCCAATGTTAGCAAAGAGAACAGAGTCCGTTACAAACAAAAAAATTTCAAAATTTTCGCTCGGTATTATTTTAAAATTTCAAAATAAGAAAGTCCGTTACTTTTTATTTTTTTTTAAACCAGCTGTTTTTTAAAGCATAAACATTTAAGGAATGCAATTTCATCACAGTGATTATCTTAATCATAAAAACTAGTAGGAATGTTCACTAAAATTACAAATTTTTCGATAAATAATAATTCACAACGAATTTTTTTAAAAATAAGAACTTCGAAGATTCGATTTTCGAAGAATAAGAACCTCAAAAATTCGGATTTCGAATAATAAGAACTCAAAAATTTCTGTTTGCTAGCATTGGCATCAAACCTTGCAGTCCGATTATTTCGTATAAAATTAAAATATTTGAAAGTTTCTGCAACCTTAGGAAAATTATAAAAATAGAAGACCTTAAATGAGAGGATTTGATGCAGTTTTTTGGATCGCATGCATGTTAATTTACTGAATTTAAATGATCAAACCTAGTCAGACTCAAATTGCAAAACTATCAGTAAGACTTATGACTTGATTTCCAATTCAAGGTTAGATGAACTTAGAAACTGAACTTTTTGACTATACTCATACTCAAATGACACTGTTTGGTTTAAAAATGCACAAATTTAGTGTTTGGTTCTTAACATTCTTAAAAAAATTCTAAAATTATGTTTGAAAAAAATATCACGCTGCTGCCTAGCGAGACATAACAGCTTAAATTTACAGTTTTACTTTTACATCGCCAAATCTCAATTTCAATACCAACAAGTCCTCTTAAAACCCACCAGAACTTTCCAAACTCAAATTTTAATTATTCAATAAAAATCCATGACAAACCTGTTCCCTTAAAAAAATTTACAGCTACACCAAACAAGTCCACGATGCCACAAGAATGCAAGATAAAGATTTCATCAATATTCCGAAAAATTCTACAGCTTAATGATAAATTTATGGTCTGTATTTCATCAACATTACGACAGCAAAAAAAACCAATCTGATAAAGATCTCAATATGCACAAGACAAACTCATTTTATGGCATAAAAGACTCGATTGATGTTAGAATTTATTAATTTCTATTAAATATTTAATGTTAATGCTTTTATGGTGACTATCAATTTATTAGGATCCTTGATTGTTTTGATGGAAATCAAATATTTTGCTGATTGTAAACTTTTTTCTAAATATAAAGTCATCACACGCGTCTTGAAGCTGTTTTGTGATAGTGAAAAAAGTTTGATTTAGAGATGTAGACCAGTGGTGTCAAACCATTTTGTGCATCGGCACACTTTGTTTTAGGAACCCTTACAAAAAACCACACACAGCATATGGTTCGTCAGATATCTCAAATTGTATCACGGCACGCGGGTTGGTTATCACAGATGTAGACAGAGATGAATCCTCGACACTTCTGGTTAAGCTAGTATAGAGATCAGCTTTTTACGCACCTTATGATTGAACATCAATTAATGACAATGTAAGATATGAACCAGATCTCAAGAGTGAACGCTCAAAAGTCCTAGTAACTTGCTCCTTAGTCAAGTGTAATAGTGTGACATTACTGTACTTAAAGGATATCTCTAAGTCATTCTATGTTTTGCCATTGACAAGGTACTTAAACGATGATGAAGCCCAAGATTTCAAGAATTTCGATGTAACGAGAAAAGGTGGAGGGGGGGGGGGGTGATAATTTTTGTTACTTAAACGATGGATGGCCGATTCTTCTCCCCAATAAAAGCCATCAAGTTTCTTAAAATTAGCAAAAAGAAATTTTCAAAACCCTATAAATTAAAAAGCTAATAATTAACAATCTTTTGTATCATGAGTCAAGATGCTATCATCATACGCCTTTACTGTTTATTACATTATATATTCTAAAATTAGCTTAGTTGCCATAAATTTACATCCAAAAAGAAATATTCTCTCAAAAAAATCGCTAAGTCTTTTACGACACACTCAACGAATGACTTATTATAGCCAAAAACTCATCACCAAGAATCACTTTAAAAAGTAGCTTTGAAACAAGCTCTAACCAAATTGTCACGGTCGTTCAATTGGTGAGGACAGATTAGTTTACACTTTCTATAGATATCTTATCATCTTTATTAATCTAAGCTATAAGAGGCTGCAGTCATAAAAACACATCTGATTTTATCATTTATGATTTTATTTTAGCGACTTAACTTGCTGTAGATCGCAATTTTTCCCACAGACTTATTTTTTAATATGTCCCATAAAGCACATAAGAAATAAAGTTTCGATGACATTTTTACCTTTTCAGATCTGAATCATCAATTTCATAATGTTTTTAAGAAAATATAAAACTTCTGAATTTATTGATGTTCTTAATATGAAATTTATGATTTTATAAATTTTAAAGAATTTTGTCATTCAAAAAAAAATCTAATTTGGATTTTATTGTTGAGCTAATAATGAGCAAAAATCAGATATGCCTAAATAAACCAGCGGGATCTCAATTAAATCATCACGGATTAACTCGTTCAAAATGTTATCTTTTTTCTGCGCTTCTAAAATGGCAATTAAGTGACAACTTTAAGATTATATCGTGGCTAGATTATCGGAAGAATTTTTCATAACTGTTATAAAATCTTTTATAGTTCCGAAATGAAACATTTTTCTCATCATTAAATCATATAATTAGGATTGTGGATTGAAATAAGTAAAATGTCAGGTAATGTGGTTTGTGAGAAATGATAAGATCAAGGATCAGTAATGATTAAGAGGCTAAAGCAGGCTAAAGATATAAAAATCCATTAATCGAAAATTCAGGGAAATCACTTATGAAAGCAATTAGTTCTACAGCAATGTTGGAGTATGTGCCAAAGAGATGACATCAGATTCTTAATTATTCTAATGATTAAAACGTGAGTTCAAATCTCATCATCTCTGAATTGTTGATCAATGATCAAATTTGTAGAATCTTGAACTTAACCAAGTGCTAATAGTCCTGGATTTTGATCAGAACTCATGTGCAGTTATAAACTGAAGCATTGTCAATTTACTAGGTTAAATCTCATGTCTTAGAATCTGGTTGACTTTATTATGACACTATGAATAGATATAACTAGAGTTTTCAAGCACTTCGGATTACAATACTGTAATGTCGTGAGCTTTGTGCGATAAAACTTTATACAATGATTGAGAAATCGGGTCTTTGGTAGGAATTGAACTCACGTCCCCTTACAAGACGTTACAGATATCCAATCTCTTATCTAAACACTCGTGCCAAATAAACTTACTCTCGCACTGACAGATTCACCAATATATGGCTCAATACCCCAGACTTCACTTGCTCAGTTGTATGCAAGAATAAATGGCTGTCTTGATATTAAGTATGTGTACATTATATTATCCCGAATTGAAAAAAATGCTTAATTAATAGAGATAGTATTGCGTTTGGTATAGGAAATTGGCAAGCGGTTGCCAGCGATAGAGCCAGTTTTAGGCGGCACCTGAGGGAGGCCATGGATCACAATTGATCTGTAAGGTCATCGAAGCAAGTAAGTAAGCTTAATTAATAAGAAATCAAGCACCATGCTGGCTTGACTCTGGTATTGTGATGGACTCAAATCGAATCGAGCACTATACTCCAGCTTGGTGCTGGATTTCTATCCGACTTGCGCTACTTGGATTAAAAAATAGTCATGAGTGCAACCATGAAACACCCCCAAATTCTTCTTTACAATCACAAAACATTAATAAAATCACACTGACGTGAACTATTGAACAGGAAAAATATCTTCAATATAGACTAAAATATATCATAATATCTCAAATATTTTGAACAAATAAACGTATTTCTTCTGCACATCTGAGAAATTACACAATAATATATCGTAATATTGTGATGCAGACTATTTTTTTTAAATAAAATATTTAGCTTGTTGATCTTGATCTACGATCGAAATAAATTTAAATTTAAAGTCATGAATATTCAATTGATAAGAAAAATATTTCTTAAGCTAATATTAAAAAATCATTCAAAGCGTGAATCGTAAACTTACAAAAATTTATTAAAATAATTGATCGATATGCAAACTTTATGGATAGTAAACAGACAGACTAGACAAATATTTATCAAAATCAAGAAACAAATTATCTAATACAAATACATAACATCATTTGCTCGACAAAATTCTTAACGATTAGCGGACTTTTTTTTACGATAATTAAGTCATCACATCTTGTGAATGTAAACAAGAACGCGGATCTGATATGTTTGTTGTTCTAGAATCTGTCTATTATGTGATGTTGTTCTGTTAGATTAATTAGCGTTCATCAAGAAAGGTGAATAGCACCTTAGAAATGCTGGATTGAATCGAAAAGTAAACAAATTTTTAGTTTT